GATTTTTTCCTTAAATAATGTGTTTAATAACCCAAATTATTTATATATAATAGTAATATAAGAAAAATATACTTTCAAATATGAAATAAAAAGTATATTCTTGAGTAGGGGTCTTATGAAACAATAAATTATGAATTTTACAATTTTGAATTATTTACGAGTCTTTGCTCTTTAGAAAATTTTCCTTTAATAATGTGTTTATTAACCAAAATCATTTATATATAATAGTAATATAAGAAAAATATAACTTCAAATATGAAATAAAAAGGATAATCTTGAGTAGGGGTCTCATGAAACAATAAATTATGAATTTATGTAGATAAAATGAAGGAATCTTTAAAGAAAATATAAATAATTCTTTATACAATTAAAATAATGTATTCAATATTTAATATATATATTTCTTGTAAATCATTAATAGTATTGTTTGAGCCTTCATTAGTAGTTAATATATTTCCGACATTGTTGTACTGCATCTAAATAAAAAATACAGACTTACGATAATTAAAAAATCATAAGAAGTCAAACTAAAACAATTACATGAAGAGAATACATATCTTTCTTAGGGTCTTAATCATATAAAACAAATGATGATGAAAATAAAAATACAGATTTAATGCACAAATTTTTGATACTATAATATTATAATAATAATAATAATAATATAAGGAACTATAAAATAAGTAATATCTTTGAGTAGGAATATATCTTATGAAACAAAAAATGGTGAATTTATATAAGACAAAATGATAAATTATATTATTGAAAGTGGAAGTTTAATAGGTATGAGTATGACTTATGAGTCATGAAGGTGAAACTTTAAAAACAAATAAAGGAGAAAAACACAAATAAATAAAATAAAAGAATAAACACATGTGTGTATATATGTGTGAGTTTTTTTTAAAAACACGACACAACTACTTTCATAGCTATAAAATCATCATCCATATTTTCATACCATGTCCAAATTAAGCCTTAACCTCATCAAATATCAAAATCATGCCAATCACAAGCCATCTTTTGTTTTTGAGACATTACCAGTTACAAATTTAAACATCACGTTATCTTTATTTGAATTTTTAAAAATATTTACTATTGTAAAAAGAATTGTGGCCTTAGAGAGCGCCACATCACTGGAGTACATATATTGATGTAAATGTTCAGTTTTCTCTACACTTTTTCATTGACAATTTATTACAATAATAAATATTTAAAAAATTCAAATAAAAAACATAATTAAATTTGATAAACATAGAGAGATGTCACATCACTTTAATATTACATTGTGTATACTTAACTTTAATATTATACTATGCAAATTTAGATTTAGGGAGAGAGACGTATTGAGTAGAATTACAACTTTAATTTCCTAAAACTAAAATAAAATCTTTTAAAAAATAAAATAACATTGAGATTGATAAAATAATAATAATAAAAAACTTTTGGCTTATATCAAAAGCTTCATAGTAATATCCTTTTCAAAGGATGGTAACATATATACATACGTTAAAAATAAAATCAAGAATGGATACAATCAACTCCTGGCTTTCCTCTTCTGTTCTTCATAACAAAAAGCTTCATAGTAATTATCCTCTTTAAAATGATGCTATCAAGGATGGATAAAATAAAAGGAAGAAGATGAAAGAGAAGAACAAAAAAATC